GGTTACAACAGATGAAGAGATATTGCAACAATTTAAAGAATATTATGAAAAGCTTTATGCGAAAGAAGAGATCTCACTACCCAATATAGTGGAATATCTAAGTAAACTTAATATATCTAAAATTACAGACACCCAAAGGGAAGAATTGAATAAAGAAATCACAGAGGAGGAGATTGAGGCTGCAATAAGGAAAATGGATGCGAATAAAGCACCAGGCCCGGATGGTTTCACCGCCGGGTACTATAAAACATTCAAGAAAGAGCTTATGCCAATGTTAAAAAAAGTAATGAATGGAATCTTCCAGAATCAGGGAATTCCAGAAACATGGAACTCAGCGGAAATAATTGTCATACACAAAGAATTATCAGATCAATCAGATGTGCGGAACTATAGACCAATTTCACTCCTAAACGTAGATTACAAAATCTTTACAAATATTCTGGCCCAAAGATTGAAAACCTTTCTGAGCAATTGGATTGGGGAAGAACAGGTGGGATTCCTACCAAAAAGAAATATAAGGGATAATATGAGAATAGTCRTAGACATGATTGAATACTTTGAAGCCAACCCTCAAAAAGAAGTGGCCTTCCTCGCGGTTGACGCGGAGAAGGCATTCGACAATTTGAACTGGGACTTTTTTAAAACTTTAATGAAAGAATTGGACATGGGTTTCCAATTTATAATGGCCATAGAAGAAATTTATAAGAACCAAAGTGCCAGAATTCAAGTAAATGGACAAACATCGGCTGAATTCAAAATAGGAAAAGGCTCCAGACAAGGTTGCCCTATATCTCCCTTGATCTTTATAATGTCATTAGAAATTTTGATGAAAAAGATAAAAGAAGAGGAAAAGATCAAGGGGGTTAAAATTGGGAAACAAGAATTCAAGGCCAGAGCATATGCAGACGACATAATTGGTATAATAGAAAACCCACGGGAGAATATCAAAAATTGGCTAGAAACAATTGAGGAGTTCGGAAAGTTAGCCGGATTTAAACTGAATAAAAATAAAACTGTCATTCTAACGAAGAACATGGCAAAAAACAAACAAGAGGAACTAACGAGAATCTCAGGCTTACGAATTGTAAACAAGATAAAATACTTAGGTATTTGGATTACAGCCAAAAATGCTCAGCTTCTTTCCAACAATTATGAAAAACTTTGGGGTGAAATTAGAAAAGATTTGGAGAAGTGGAAGTATTTAAACCTTTCTTTGTTAGGAAGAATTGCGTTAATTAAGATGTCTATCCTTCCAAAATTGCTCTATGTGTTTCAAAATATCCCAATAATAAGGAATGTCAAGAAATTCAACGAATGGACAAAGGATCTCTCGAAATTTATATGGAAAGGGAAAAAGGCAAGAATAAAGTATCAAGTGTTGACAGACAAAAAAAAGAGAGGAGGTTTTGGGTTACCTAATCTTAAGTTATATCACGAAGCATGTGCCTTGATTTGGATTAAGGAATGGATGAAACTGAAGAGTGAAAATCTTCTTACTTTAGAAGGCCATGATCTTCGGGTTGGCTGGCATGCCTATATATGGTATGGAAAAGAGAAACAGGAAAAAAATTTTGGTAACCATTTTATCCGATCCTCTTTACTTAGAACTTGGGAAAGATACAAAAAATACTTTTATTCAAAAACACCGCTTTGGACCTCCCCAGTGGAAGCGAAGCAGAGAAGATTGTTGGGCTGGACAAACTGGCCCACCTATAAAGAACTTTTGAGACAAGGTTCAATGGAGTTAAAAACTTATGAAGAAATAAAACAAAATTATCCAAGGATTATGTGGCTGAATTTCTTACAAATAAAAGAACAATACAACCAAGATAAAAAGTTGGGTTTTCAACTCAAAGAAGAATTTTGGGATAAAATCCTAAATACGGAGACAAAATGTATTACAAAATTATATGATAAATTGTTAGAATGGTCCACCGAAACGGAATTAATAAAAAGCTGTATGGTAAAGTGGGCGGAGAACCTCAAAAAACCAATAGCAATGGCGGATTGGGAAAATATGTGGAATAAAAAATTAAAGTACACTTATGCCACAGATTTAAAAGAAAATTGGCTGAAAATGTTCCATAGATGGTACATGACACCAGTGAAACTAAATCAGATGTATAAAGATGTATCTAAGACTTGTTGGAAATGTAAAGAACATGACGGAAGCTTTTTCCACCTTTGGTGGAGCTGTGAAAAATCTCAAAAATATTGGAAAGAAATACATGCTGAAATGCAGAGATTATTTAAAAAAAAATTTCCTAGAAAAGCTGAATATTATCTGCTAGGAATCACAGATGGAGATATATGTTTAGATTCAAATGAAGATATCTTATTTGTCTTCCTGACGACAGCCGCTAGAATTGTTTTTGCACAACTCTGGAAACAGATAGATATACCAGATAAATTCAAGTGGATAAAGAAGATAAACGAAATTAAGGACATGGACAATTTAACTTTTTTACTAAGAAAGAATACAGGTAATCCAATAAAACAAACAGATTGGACAATAATTGAAGAATATATTGAGAATTGGTCCAAAGACAAGTAATTATAGAAATAGGTTACAAATTTAGAAGTATGAAGATACTGAGAAAGACTAATACAGGGGCAGAGCCGGAAAGGAGGTCCAAATTTTTGTGTGTATATTTTTTTTTTCTTTTTCTTTTTTCCCTGTTGCTCTCTTTTTTTCTTTTTTTGAGAGTGTCAGGGTTATGTATACCTTCTGTTTTCTGTTTTTTTCTCTATTTTTCCTACTGTTCTATCTTCTTCATATTATTCCCCCTCTTTCGTTGTAGTAGTAGTAGTTTATAAAAATCTAATAAAAATTTATAATAATAACCATCAAATCTAATGCACACCTCATTTTTCAAAATCCTGAAACCAAAAAATGAATTTGCTGCCAAATCTAATGTGCAGCAGCAAAAAGCATGCTCTTTATCATTTTGCCAAAAAAAGGTACACATTACAGTTGTTGCACATTTAGAATTCCTTCTTTCAAAATGGTTAGAGCACCAAAGCATTGGAAAAGAAAACCTTGGAGTACATCTATGCCAGGCATGGGCAAACTTCAGCCCTCCAGGTGTTTTGGACTTCAACTCCCACAATTCCTAACAGCTGGTAGGAATTGTGGTTTTGAACCTTCTCTGCTAAAGGATGCTTCTGCCTCACCAAACTACAAATCCCAGAATCGCATAGCATTGTGTCATGGCCATTGAATTGGAGATGAGGTCCCACAAACAGGAGCTCCAGGTACAGCTCCTGAAGCAGTTTCCTCTTTTGCTTTGGCTCAGCACTGCCATTACTGTATGAATCGAATCAAATTTGCACCTCGATTTTTGCAAGATTATTTAACCAAAAAAGGTGAGCATTAGATTTGAGTAAATACAGTATTACTAAGGGCCCCCTGGTGGCACAGTGGGTTAAACCACTGAGCTGCTGATCTTGCTGACCAAAGGTTGGCAGTTCAAATCCGGAGAGCAGGGTGAGCTCCCGCTGTTAGCCCCAGCTTCTGCCACCCTAGCAGTTTGAAAACATGCAAATGTGACTAGACCAATAGGTACCGCTCAGCGGGAAGGTAACAGTGCTCAATTCAGTCATGCTGGTCACATGACCTGGAGGTCCCCGTATGAAAGCCTTCACTTGAGTGGTGGGCAGCATGGTGTTTGTGGAGGACACTGGCAGGAGTTGTACGTGTTCACAGTGCTCACTGTGACCTGCAGTGTCATTGGAGAAACGGCCATTGGTGTCTCCTGCATAGTGGGAGCTATAGCTATATGTGGAAGTGGCAAACCTGTCTGTGTAAGTGGACACCCCAGCAACACACACATACATATTTTCACTTTTATTATGAACATTTTACTAGATCTTCGTCTCACCTCATAATCTTGTAACAATGGATAAAGTGATTAAACTTCAGAAAGCAGAGCAATTCAAAAAGCACAATACATAACGAAATGTATTTTCTTCTTTTTAAAGGATCACCTGCTTATAAATATGGCATCTAAGAAATGTTTATCTGCAAAAGGTGAACATCCCTCCCTGGCTTCCTGTAACCCTGCAGATCCCTATCAACTTTGGTATTTCAGCTAAAACCCAGCAAAAACAAACCACTGCAAGCCACACCAGAATACTATGGACCTCCCATGGGAGATTTTTCTATTTTTCTAGCCCATTCTTCAGAGAACAAGAGGACGAGTCCAAGAAGAAAGGGAAAGGACCCATTCAGATATGCTGCATAATCACAAAAACCTACCTGCAAAACACTCATGTGCCTTGATGTGAAAGGATGGCCCAAGAGACACACACACAGCAAACCCTGATGTATATCTTTATTTTTCTTTTTTCTTAGTAAAAGTTCAAAGCTGGGATGTTTGCTCATTAGAGTGCCATATGGATTGTGAATCAAAACTCCATATTGTGAGATGGACAGTCTTGGTAATTTTTATTCTTCAGCAGACAAGATAAAAAGTGGGTATTTTGTATGATGTCAATTCCAAACTATCCCTAAATGCATACGCTGTGTACAGGGCATACCGTAGCATCTCAAGGAAACCAGCTACAGAGCTTCACTTAAGAAATA